ATCATTATGATCATCATCATCATCATTATTACCATTATTATTATTATTATTATTACTATTATTATTATTACTATTGTTGTTGTTGTTATTTTTATTTAAGTGACTGCTTCCAAGGTCATATTTTCAGGCTATTTTTTTTTGCTTAGGGTGACATTTACTGCAATTATCCATATGGTTAATACGCCCTCTAGTGCCGGCTCAGTTTCTTTCTCGCACTCTTTAAAAGACTACACTACCCAGAATTCATTGTGAATTGAAGCAGCCTACTATTACGCCTGAAATAATTTTAACGCCAGTATCTATCTCATGAATTATATCCACAGCTCACAAACAAACATCGGCAGTCAAATATATGCAAATACGTGAAGCCCATAGTTCGTCACTAAACGAGAAAAAGGTCCTCAAGCTGATTTAAATATCCATTCATTCACGGGGACATTTGTAGTCAGCTAAAATCCTCGCCTAAGGTCCTCATACTCCGGTGTCATTGGTGAATGACCGAAGATGTCTCACAGCAGGTTGTTTGCCAGGCTGCTTTGTAAGTATTTTTCTAAATCAGGCTTTTAACCACTCACATTGTTTGACAGTATAGCTGCTGCAACAGACATATACGCAGTGGCTCTGTGCTGTACGTTGGCTGAGCTTCGCGGGCTCACACGGTCTTGCACCAGAAAGCCACCCAGGCAACCAAGGGGAGCTTTCTGGCTAGTTAGCCACATTAGCCTGCCAACCGTGTTTTGTTGTTATAGCTCAATGACAGTTAGCCCTCTAGCTAACTAGCCTGCTCTTCGCTAACGTCCAGCTGAAATCTGGCTTTCACCCCCTGTCAGCCTGCTCCCAGGCCAGAGCGAGTGTCAAACTTTGACCTTGTGTGTCCTCTCGACTTAAAGTTAGCGTGTCCATTCTCTCTACTCAAAGTGTTTTGAACCAGAAGATCATGTTTTGTTTTCACCCAGCAGTGGAAGCAGCTCATTCAGCTGTTAGGTCAGTGTGTCTGCAGCCTGCATGCTTGCAGCTCTGAGCATTTTAGAGAGCTTGCATCTACGTTTGCTGTCGACTTAACGTTGACTACAATTGGACGACTGAACTTTGTACAGGGACATTGATAAGTTGTCTCTGAGGCACTGACAGAAGACCAAAGTTCAGTCAGTGGGGGTGATTCAGTCACTGGTGGTTTACTTTAACCTGGTCAGAAGTTTCTGTTATGATAGTATTTATTTTATCTTTAAAACAAAGTCAAGAAACAAGTTACTCACATTCAAAGCCATACAGGCACTGGCAGTCAACTGGAGTTCTCCTATTTACCTTTTTATTTTGTCACTAGCAGGAAGCTTTTCTTTGATTGTGGTTGGATTGATGTTTTTTTTTGCAGAGTTGAACCTACTCTTATTTGATAGTGGACACCTTTTTTTAATAAATTATATGAATTAGCTTAAGGTTTTAGACCATCTGTGTGTTAGACAGTGGAGTGGCATTCAGTGTCTCCTTTGATTCATGGAGGTCAAGTATTGTTTAATAAGGCTGCTGGCTACTTAAATATTATTATTTCTTAATAAAGTAGTTTGAAAATGTCAGAAAGTAGTGAGTGAAAAAATGCCACCCCTGCAAGTTCCCATCACATTTTAAAAACCGGAGTCGGCAAATGTTTCACCTTTTTGCATAGGAAGTTTAATGAATTCATTTTCGGTCACTTTTCAGCACTTCATTGAATTTTGAGTCCTTCAAGTCCTTAAAATGGTGATTGCAGCTTTATACAATGAAGCGTTGTGCTGTAAATATACTTTGAACTGTGTGCTAGCTCAAGTAAAAATAGCAATTGGCCATTTTTGTGCAGTTATTGTCTCCGATTGCATGTGAGAAATAAAACGTGCACACAAATAAAACAGAATCTCTCCCTGGAAAAGTGATTAGAAGAGCAGCAGCTATGATTTAATATCTGTGGCCCTACTGAAGTTCAGCTGAAACGTCCCTCATGAAACCACTATTACTATGCCATGATATGCTATAACACCTCACAGTAGATGTAACGCTTAACAGAGCCTCCTCACTTGACCTGAATGTGTCTTGTTACTTACTACAGTATGTCTAATTGTGGGGTTTGGAAACAGCCGCCTGCAGCTGCTGGAAACCGAGTTGATTAGAGCTGTGGGACTGAACTGGACCACACAGTAAACATGGGCTGGAAGAGCAAAAACACTGAGCTAAAAGAGTCTAAAAATTGCAAATGGCTGGGTGACAGTTCTCTCTGTGTTTGTCCTCACACCTCTGACATTTCATTCGATTAATACAGCTTTTAAGAATGTTTAATTTCAGCTCACTGTATACA